CGAGGGCCAACATGATGGCGGCTGGTGTCCACAGCGCAATGCTGTTGTACGTCTTGCGCAGCGCTGTGAGGCTGAGACAGCGTCGCTGGAGCAGCACATCCGCAATGATCAGGTAGACATAGCACATGGCCCACATCAGCAGAAAGGGCAGCGCCGAGAAGAACGCATTGCTGTGCATCTCCAGGCCCAGCACGCCGTTCAGATAGGCTGGCAGCTCCGCCTGCATTGTCGCCAGGCCCCACGTGTCGGCGCAGCGGGCGCAGAGCAGCGCATAAAATGGCGCTGAGGTGAATATACCACGCCAGGGTATGGCCAGCTTGCGTTCTCGCCTCACGCTGCGCTGCAGGTCGCCCACAATGTAACGCTGTTCCGCTCGGCCAATGCAGCGCGCCTCGCTGGCGCGATTGGCGCCCAGCAGCAGCCACAGCAGGCACCACATCAGGCCCAGCGCAGCCGACACATAGCTGATGCCCGGCCAGCCTAGGCTGGAGCTGGCCAACATGCCGGCTGCATACATGGCCAGCACGTTGCCGCAATCGAAGCCCGTATATGCAAAGGCGCCCAAGCGCGTGCGCTCCACCGCTGGCGCCCAGTTGGCCAGATGCTGATGTATGCAGGGCAATGTCAGGCCCTGGCAGAGGCCCTGCATCAGACGTATGGCACAGTAGGCGCGCCATCCGGCCATATAAATGCCTTGGGGCGTCCATGCGCTGAGCAGCGCCGATCCAAAGCTGCCCCAAAAGAGCACGGTCTTGGCGCCAAAGCGCTTGCAGAGGTAACCACCGGCAAATTGCGTCAACGCCGAGCCCCAGTAGAAGCTGGACAGCACATACGATTTCTGTGGCTCCGTCCAGTTGTAGTGCTGCAAGCACAGATGTCAATAGTTATTTAGTGTGGGCGCGTGGGCGTGGCCTTGCGGCCCTCGACTCACTTACGGGCAGCTCGGCATTTACAGACGTGGCATTTGTCATGGCCACCACAGCCACGCCCACATTGAACTGCAGCGTGGTATTGACGACCAGGCCCAGGAAAAGCAGCAACGCCTGCAAATGACGCAGACCAAGGCGTGGCACTAAAATGCAAATTAGACACTGAGTTACACACTCTCAATTTCCATTTCTATTTTTTTGCAATCGACCCACCTTTCTCCAGCTCCACATCCGAGTCAACCATTCTAGCTCCTAACTCCTTACCCTCTTGGTCGCTTTTGTCTTCTCGTTTGTCTTGCTGCAAAAATTATTTACAAACTAGGCGAAAATCGAATTAGAATTACGCCAAATCCAGATGTAAAATTTAGTGCAATTCTCTAGTTGTTGTTGTGTATTAGATATTTCAGAAGCTAACTATAAAAAAAAAAAGAAAAGAAAACCTGCAAAAAGTTGAACTGTGTTTAAAAGCTTGAAAATTGAGTGTCATAAATAATTCAATATGAAGATACAAGTGCGCGATACAATACCTAAATTATTAGTAAAGCAAGCTGACAATTGTTGCGAAAAAAAAAAACAATCGTAACAAAATAAATGTAATTTAAAAGTACAAAAAAAAAAACAGGGCGCTTTTTTAAAAGTCATTAATTTACATGACTTGAAATATTATCTGGGCGCATAAAAATGCCGAACAAATTTTAAATTAATTAAATAAATTAATGCCTAGACGTGATGTCAAGCCCAGATCAAATGCATGTTCTACCCATGCAAATCTGTTCAGTTTTGACAAAGCTCAAGGAATAAAACAAAAGAATTATGAAGAAACACGACTAAAGAGAAGATATATTGATATGAATATATATGGAATATATAGAAAATACCTTTTGTAAGCATTGAAAAGTCTTATAGGGATTTATTCAAAACGATCACAAACTAAACTCGAATTCGAATTAAATCGAATCAGTTTTGATAAATAACTATTATATTATGTACCTTATATACGTACAGGTTCGTACGATACGGTCGGGCACATAAGCGAACGAGAAGAATAAACAAACATCATATATTGCTAGAGTTGCGAATTGTTTGCCGGAATTTGAAGGGAGCTTGAAAATTGAAACTTCGACTCAGACATGGACTTAGATCTGGCATAAAGTTTATTTGTTTGTTTATTTTTAGCATTGTTTTGACGATTATTTTGTTTTGTTGGGTTTTTGGGTTGTGTGCAAATTTGGTCGATAATATCAACGAAAAGCAATGCAAATCCCAGAATATACATTTGTATCTGCGCTGCTAACAAGATACTTTTAGTGCCATTGAGAGCCATACACGCACACACACTCAGACACAAATACTGTCACACTTGCACAAACATTTGCAATCCAAAATATACGCCGCCTGCTTCTTTCCCTTTCTCTCTCTCTCTCTCTCTGTCTCTGTCTCTGTCTCCATCTCTTTCGGCTTGTTCTTGTTGATTTCGCATGCTTTTTCAATTGTTCTGAAAGCTGTCAATACAACGGGCTACAATAGGACAGCGTGCGCTATGTTGATTGGGTGGGTGAGGGGCGGGGGGTGGGGGGGTGTTTGGTTGGGTATGGGCTGATCTGGCGCTTACAGCCTACTAATGCCGCATGAAGCAACAGAAAAACAGAATCGATTGCAACGGCTGCAGCATATTTTTGGGGCCCGTGCAAATATTTGCACATTCGCATTTTTGTTTACATTTTAGTGCAAATTTTGCAAATTACTCGCATAGAAGTCTGGCAACACCCACACTTTCTCACACACACATATACATATATGTATATACCACCTGTACAGCGTATCATGTAAAATGTGTGCTCACATTTTTTATTGTGTTGCACATTTAATTTAAGTAAATGTCCGACATGTGCGGCACATTAGAGCAGTGGCGTCCCCAAGTGGGTTAGAATGCGAATGTTAGGCATAAGTAAGATAATTGATTAAAAAAACGTGGTATTGATTAGCTAAGAATTAGAGCCTGACAATATTTGTTATTCAGTTTTGTATGCGGAATATGTTATGATTTTTATTATAGTAATTAATAATGCAATCGTTATCGATTTATCGTTTCTACGAAAGCTTAACATGCAATGTAAGATCACATGTTGTTTACGTCCCCTTGGCTGCGACGCCCTTGGCCGTTCTCGGTCTTTAAAAATGTCTAGCATTCTGTTCGGTATTATTAAAAACAAATAGGCAAACACATCTGACATACTCACACCCACACTCACGCATGCAAATAACACAACAACAGTCGAATACATTTATGCATTTTGTGTTATTTTAATTTAAAATATCTGCCGATTTATTGTGAGAATTCTATCAAGCTTTTAGGTCACAGCCAGTACAATCGAGAAACTATATTTACATGCATTTGCATGTATGCATGTATGTATGCATGTATGCATGTATGCATGTGTATAGGCCCCGTATACATATTAAAATATGTAACTACAATGTTTTGCTTGATGAATAATGAACGAAGCAAAGCTTAACTGAAAAGTGTAACAGAATATACAAATGGGGTGAATGGCAATAGTTACCGAATTTCCAATTGGACCTTGGACTTACATATGTATGTGTACACGTTTATTTCTAGTACGCTTTGCACAATATTCTATTTATATCCAATTTTCGTAAAATTTATCATTTTGTTATTTTTTCCCGTATTTTTTTTTTTTTTTATTCTTCCGTTTAATCGCTTAGCGCATTCGCTTTGCTAGCGTTTTGTTCAACTGCGCTTTGTTTATGCAAATAACTTTTAGACGCTCGCTGCCAACCAATTTAAATCTCGCTTAATGAAGTCTTTCCCCGCGTCTGCTGTGTACAAATGTGAATCACGAATGGAATGGAAATGTGTGGAAAACTAAAATAGAGCAGATCAGGTAGCTTGGCTTAAATGTGTTTGGGGAACAAAGCTAGAACTGTTTTCTTCTTTAATTAATTTGGAACAGCTGTAATTGATTTTAATTGGAGTTGATCAAACATTTTGTATAACTATTGAACAGTTGAATTTCTACATTTAATTCCTTGTAGGCATAATTCGAATGTCGAACGCTAATTGAAGCTCAATGTCAAAGGCTGACTGCTACAACAGCGCCGCTGATCAGCTGATCCTTACATTTTTCTGTTAACTAATCAGAGTTAACAGGCCTTAATATAATCAACAGGTTATATTTATGAAATCGATAGTTCGATAAGTTACATTAAACTTGTGCGAGCGAATTCGAGCTATATTGCTTTAAATTTATTATCTAATCGCAAATTTCATCACATACTTATTTAGCTGACCTTGTGGTGTGCCTTTTTGTTTGGTGTTGTGTGCATAGATAAAATATCAACTGTACTGTTAACATATGGCGATGTCTATCGATTGCTAAGGAAATCATTCTTCATAACAGAGTCTCATTTTGCGCTAAAGTTTAAACTTGATATTTTTTTTTAAATAGTTATCGGCAAAAGTAACTGTATGCTATATAACTTTCACATACGCTTTATCATTTCAAATTGTGCTTAGTTTTACTCATAATGGTTATTTTTCTAATTGACAGATGTTAATAACATTTCAGCAAACATTCATGTTATTGCTCGCTGTTATGTTATGCATTCGCTGTACAACGAATGTTACACTCTCTTTAGCGTGCGATCGCAAATTCTCTCATTTACTGTTAATGTTGTTGTACGTACACATGTGTGCGGACGGCGAAAAAAAATTCAAAATTTACGAGTTGTTTCAACTTTTAGACTTAGTTTGTGCGAAAGCAACTTGCATTGGTGCGTTAAATGCAATCAAATTTGTATTAGACAAACAAAACCCCACTGCGTACAACATCAAATAAAAATATTCTTATTGTGGCGACAAAACGATCGCAAAAGAAGACGCGCAAGCAAATAAACAAATTTGCGGCCGTCATCTCGTCGTGTGTGTAAGTGTGTGTGTGTGTCCGTTGCGGGTGATTCAATTGTTTAAGCAAACAGCAGCAGCCACTGGGCAATTTGTATTATTTTAACCATTTAATTACACTAACTACAACAGCAGCAACTACAATATCCACCACCACAACAACAAAAACAACACCGTGAGCAAAAGTCCAGAATTTGTTTCCAAAAAAAAAAAGCCGCCAAATGACGCGACGACATAAAATAACCATTCAGCAGCCGTAAAATACGTTAATAATATTTGAAAAAAAAAAAAGATCAGTTAAATTTGCTTTTTATGTCAATTTCGGTCACAGTTTTGTTTGATTCGATACAAAATTTCGTGCATTTGTTCTCGTTTCGTCTTTTTCGTTTTGTTTTATTTTTTAAGCTTTTCGGTATCCTTTTATCATACTTTCTCGCGTGTTGCGCGTCGTCCTCATCTGGTCACACTCGTGTCTATCCACACATCTCTGTTAACGAAAAGAAAAGTGAACACGCGCGTTATTTTCACACCCCCACCCTTTCGCACCGCACCGTCTCCTTCTTGTGTTTGTGACATTTTTGGCATTATTATTGCATTCCACGTGTGTTTCCGTGTTTTTGTTCGCCCGGTCTCGTCCCGTATTTTGTAAGTGTTTGCCACCGAGTGTAATATGTTTGTTAATGTTTCCAATTGTGCAATTTGCTTGCCATTCCCTTCCCTCTCGCTCTTCTAGTGATCCGTCGTAAAATTTTCTTCGTTTCGTCTTTATGAACGTGTTATAAAATTATTGTGAAAAGCAACAAAAAAAAAAAACACAAAAAATCAAGCAAGGCTCAAATTTTACGACATCAATACCAACAACAACAACAACAACAACAATATTTACCCCGCTGTTTTGTAAGTTGCTTGCATGCATTTTTTAAGCTTTGTTTTTTACTTTTATTTATCCTTATTTTATTAATAACATATTTCTTATCACTGCTGTCACATCTAATTTCTTATTACCTTTTTTTCCGTCTTGTACATATAAATGTCTACCTAAACATAACTTCATGCTTGTATCTACACACACACGTACACATACATACGTAATACTTGATTATTTACCTGTTGCCTCTTGTCTGTGTCCATGTCCGTCAGTCTATCTCGCTCGCACATGCTCGCATATTTGTACATTCATTGTCAACGGTTATTTCATGATTGCGCTTTGTTGTCTTCATTTTACCTCTTGCCCTGTTAGTTTGTTTTGTTGCTGCAGCTCGCAGCAGTTGCCTTTACGTACATGCATACATACATGTGCAAGTATATCTATATATTCTCTTATTGTACATTCCACCACCATTTCATTTTGGCTTACCTCACTTCACCTCGGCTCAGCTCAGCTCATCTATAATCGTATTTTGACTGCGTTGTGCCCTTATTGGCAACGCTGCCTTAGGCTGCCGCTCTGCTCTGTATATGATTTTTGGCGCTCTGGCAGCGCTCGCGCTGTCGTTTTCATTTGCACAATTTCATGGCCAGCGCTTCCTTTTTTTCATAATTCCGCTGACTCATTGCCACGCTGAGCAACATGTTTATAATTTAACTTTTTTCTATCTGTTTCTTTTTTCTCGTTGGTAATTCATTTTTTTTTTCTGCTCTGTCTCATTGTGGTTTTGGCCACACACACACACACACACACACACATACATAACTTTTACACACGTTAATTTTAGAGTCTGAGTTTGACTGGCCGATGGCTGCGTTATGTTTGGGGTTTGCACTGTTTTGACAGTCAGTTTAACATTCTCGCCTATGAATGTGCAATTATTGGGGAAGGGTAATTTGTATGTTCAGTAACGTGGGCGACGTTAGAGAGTAAAATCTGATATCTGTTACTCAGAACAAAACTGATTAGAACTATAAAATTATTTTGAGCAGGCATTAGAACATAAAAAATATAAAAACTTTCAATTAAATAAACTTGAAGTGTTGCATTTCAATAAATAGGTATTTTTGTACAAAAGTATGTAGCATTGATATTTTTCAAAGCTGTTTTTCTTGATTTTATTTTATTGTACAATGGCCACACTGCCAACTACGAATGCCGTTATTTTAACCGCTCATTTAACCCACCTATGGTACGGCCCACAAAGCAGCTGCGTTGCCCAGCTATAAAAGCAACAACAACAACAAACTAACTACTCAGCGTCGCGTAATTTGCAAACAAAAAGTCATTAAAATATCAAATTAGCGTCTGGCGTTGAGATTTAGTCAAGTTTCCCAATGATGATGTTGACGCCAGTTGTGCCTCGATGACTGTGAACTGAACGACTGACTGCAAAATAACTGAGAATGTCTGGAAAAGAGTGTGCGTCTGTGTGTGTGCGTGTGTGTGTGTGTGTGTGCGTGCTTGTGAGTGTAGAAAAATCGAAAGTATTCGCCATGTGGCACCCGCATAAGCTCAACAATTGACTGATTACAAGCTATGTGGCCGGCCCCTGTTAATAATATTTATATAAAACTCAACAAATTATACGAGTTCGGTGACGTACACGAGCTGCTCCTGCTTAAAATTAACAACAGCAACAAAAAATCCTTAAATTATGATTAAGATATCTAGTGAATGCCATGATAAATACGAAAAACTCGCCAAAGTTTACGTGTCGAACAAATACACATGTCAGTGCTCATCTCTAGTCTATATTATATGTCTATCAGTTGGAAATACTACTACTTATGAACGGTAGTTTACCCTATCCAGTGGTATTAAAACTGTGCCACAAAATGTGTAACACTTTGATTCTTGCTCAGCATTAACAGCCAGTTTTGACGACGGATCGGTTAGATATTATATTTTATTTAAATTATTAATTTTTAAAATATTTTGTCTAAACTCAGGAGTTCGTACAATTCGTACAACTGTAGAGAATTGCTTACATTTGAGTGACTGAGTATAATATTTTGGAAGGGTATTTAGGCTTCGAAAGGCTAATTTTTATTTATTTTTTATCATTTCATAGGGCTTATCGGCAACAAAAAGTTGCCGATAACACAATTTACATGCATGAACATTCAGTTTATTTTCATTGTCTAGGTGTGTGGAGTGAAGAGAGACCGGGGGTTGCGGTGTTTTTGCAGTTAATTGAAATACGCGATAAAATAAAATTCAGAGGGAGAAAGAGAGAGGGAGACTAGAAGAGAGAAAAAAACACGTTTTACCTGAACTCACACCGAGATGAGTCACATTTGAGTTGAAGGAACTCATTCAACACGGGCTGCAATTAGTATTTAAAGTGAAAAACAAAAACAAACAAACTTATAACAATTAATATCAACAAAAACAACTACGAGTGCAATCCAATCGTTTTGTGTAAATTTATTTATGTTTTCTAGGAAAATTGTTAACTATCCGTATTACTTGCAACTGACTTATCGACTCAACGATCTTGGTCAAAATGTGGCCACACATCTCTTTGCTCCATATTTGGTCACACTCTCAAGCACAGATACAATAAGAGTGCCGGACTAGGAGATACCCTGTATCCAGCTTTGAACTGCCTTTGTTTGAAATGTACGGACAAATGTCTGCCAAATGTGCGCTGTCTTGATATCGAGACGGGGAAAGGTATTTACATCCACGTCAACTGTTATACCAAAGTCGAAATTAAAGAGTGGATTTATTGATCAATTTAAATTCGCTTGTTTTGTTAATACTTATGTATTATATACTTTGACTCTAATAGTCTATGAGATCCAGCACTGCAGAGTCTCAGTCTATTTAAACATGCATGCATGCGTATTTTATGGGCTCAGCGTTTGCATTTGCATAAGACCCTTTTTTGAATACATTTTCAATGGGGGGTACAGGGTATTCAAATTGTATCTGTATCTGCGCAAAAGTTCTGTGTGAAATACGCTTGCGCGGCGACAATCGCTCGACTTACCCTTCACAAGTTATATACGAATGAACGCGTTTAATAAATTATCAAGTTGAATGCCCAGTTTCGAAATTTGACCTTGGACACAAATTTCGGGTCTCGGGGCTCTACTCTCTGTGCATGTATATCGCGAGTGTGTGTGTGTGTGTGTGTGTGTGTGTGCGTTCGTGTGTATCTTTTGATTGTGTGTTTTCGACAATTTCTTAGCTTGTAGTTTCTTTGAGCTTTGATGCGTTACGACTGTCGCCCGGCCACAGTCTGCTGCTCATGACTGGGAAGTGAAACTCTATAGCAAGTGCGTAAGTCTTGGGCTTCGGTTAATTAGCGCTACCATACAAATTAACTAACGCACATGCGTAACTTACAAATACATATGCAGATACACACACAGAAATACAAGCAGCAAACGGCGCTGTGATTTTCGTTTCTATATGATTAATGGTTGCTCATTTTTTTTTTTTTTATAAATATAATTTTTTCTACTCTCAATTTTGTTGTTAGGCGCTTTGAACTTGGCTCTAATGTCTGAAATAAATTGCTCTTGCTCTTGCTCTTGCTCTTGGTAGGCAAGCAATTGCAAACCGGTTTAACCATCAAAATGAATGAACGTCGAGGAAAGGGTAAGCGCTAGGGAAGCTTCGTTATACAATACCTAGAAATAGTTTGACTATTAGAACATTAATTTGTGCTGTTACCAAGTTGTTAAACTTCAAAACCTTCTCTGTATGTGGGAAACTATTCTCTGGAATCAATCTACTTGTATTTAATAGGAACTGCAAAAATAGTTGCTGTCAACCCTTTGAAAATGGGTGCAGATGAGGGTATGTTGGTTGTGTGCAAATGTAGGAAACAGGGAGAAGGAGACGTCGCCGAACCCGAAAAGTACAAGTGCCTGTCTGTCCGTCCGTCCGTCCGTCTGTTAGTCCCTTAGTCCGTCCGTCTGTCGGAAAGCCTTTAAGAGCTGGAGACAAAATGGAAAGGTAGGTAGTAGGAGTTTGTTTCCGATATTCGATAACATGCTCCGTTTCCAAGCATTCGATAGAAAGAGAAGAGAATTTTTTGCACTCATAGTTTGTTCACAATTTCACGCCAAGATCGAGATCAGCACACTACATAATAATATTTCAATGATTAAAAATTTAAGCAGCTCGAAAAGGAAACTATTCATTGATTTTCATTTCTATATGTGTTTGTGTTGGCCTCACGCAACGCACGCAAAACATAAAAGCTAATCAGCTCACGCTGTTGGATTTTGAAAAAGAGCAAATAATAATAAACACACATGCACAGCATCTGTCTGCACAAATATTTATTGATATTTGACATGATCGATCACCCAAAGGGGTTGTGGCAGGCGGGTGCGGAGAGGGTTGGGGAAAGTGTTAAATACTTGACGAGCTTGATGAGCCAATTTGTTGAGGTGTTGAAAAATGCAAATGTACATGTCCTCCTGCTGCTGCTGTTGCCGTTGCGATGCCCGATGATGTGGCCTGTCATATTATGAACATTTTTGGGTGGCTAGAGAAATGCGGCGTTACGCTCTGGCTGATTTGTGCGCTAAACACGCTGTCAGCTAGTTGAAGGTGTGTCCCCTGTCCCCCTGGTCAGCGGGGTCTTGGGCTCTTCCATTTTCACCTATCGAAATTGCCGTGCGTTGCTTTTATCACAGCGCACGTAAATGTCAAACATAAGCCCCATCGGTTTAAAAAATATCACATGGAATTTGTGTTTGTTTGTGTGTGCGTGTGCTTGATTGATAAGAAAGCAAAACGACAGCTGTTTGGAAAAAGGCCGGGCGCATGCTTTAAATACTCTTGTTTTGATATATTTCAGGCCGGGTATATTTATGCGCACTTCCTTTCGTTTCATCATTTTGTTGCGGTTGAATCGAATTGGCAATCATTTTTATCGATGGTAAATTGTTCAATTTAGTTTTTAACAGATCTTTGGAACATTCAAATTTTTATGGATATATTA